GTTGGAATATGCAGAAGATACTGGAAAAGCAAAGAATATGCAAGACCTGGAAGATTTTTCTGAAGAACAGTGGGAAATTTAACTGCTCAAGACAAACAAGGGACTCATGATCAACTATCTCAAAACATAAACACAGTCACTGGTATCATCCAGGTAATGACACACAGTAATAAGAATCATGGGTATGTAAACCTTTGAACTGATTCATTTGTATTATTGTGCCTTGTGGACTATATATAAACATCTGTTATGTGAAATAGCTTATTCAGGGCAATACTAAATAACAATCAAAATGCAATATTTATGATCCATCTTACTGGCACCCTGTCCAGGGTGTACCCCGCCTTGTGCCTAATGCTCCCTGGGATATTCTCTAGGTTCCCCATGACCCTGAAAAGAAGTAAGCGGTTGAAGATGGATGGATGGATGAATAGATGATCCCTCTTTTATTAATTATTAGCATTTTGAAGAGTCTGCAAGGCATATGTAAACATATGACCTCAAGTGTAAATGGATGTTTCATAACGTACAGGAAATATACTCGGCAATAGTCCATCAAAGAATCTTGCTCTATCTGCCTGTCAATATCCCGATACCATGAAACCATCACCTGTCAGTCTGAGGTGGAAATAGTTGAGGAAAGCAATTGAAATCAGGAGAGCACTTCCAGCTAATTATCTCCCAGTCAAAGTTTTAATGATGATTAGCGGATGATCGGCAGCATAGAGCGAATTCACAAGCGGCCTCTGGCACACGGAAACATCAGAGGAAGCCCAGCATCCCCGAGCACCATGTCTTAACAAGGCTAACATGGGAAAACCTCTGGAGTTGTCGACACAGACGGACATAAGGACATTTGAGATTCTCAGAGCAGGTAAATTGGATAATACATTAGCATACATTGGTCTGCATCACAAAAAGTCCTAGCGGTAGTTTCAGGTTATGCTAATTAAGATATTATGACACCACAAACTGATCCTAAAAACACAACAACCAAAAAACAAAAGAGTGTGAGAAGTTCTGTTAGTCTTTTCATCAGTCGTACAGCGTATTGACAGCTTCAGAGAAGAACTTTCCCATTCCTGTAATCATGTCATCATTGTGATTGTTTGATTATTGTTTTGTGTGTGTTGTGAAGTGCTCTTTAAGGTTTCAGAGGTGGGGGGAAAAAACACCAACAAATGGCAACCAGGTGCTTTCACAATCAAAGTCTCGCTCTTTGTTCGTTCTGTTTTTTGTGCCACTTTGAGAAATTTGACAAGTGACAGAGAAGAAAGTTCATTGTAGATGCTTCGGAAAAAGAGAAAAGTAGGTAAATAATTGTCTGACAGTAACGTCTGTAATGATTCCCATCAGCTCCTTACACTTGAGGGCAAGCTATTATAAGAAAGTAATCAACAACAAGATGAAGTGATGAAGCAGAGTGACTGTTTCAAAGTTGATTTTCCTATTATAACACATCCTGATGCTTTAAGTCCCCATATACAACAGCATAATTTTTTTTTTCTAATGAATGACACATCATACTTTTTTATCTGTTTATAGTTACATTTAATGTTGTGGAACATCCATGAAGAAAGCTATAATTATTACTTACATTACAGCATCTTTCAGTCCCTCCAGGATTTTGCGATCACAGAATTTAATGTAAAATCAAGAAAACACCCCAATATTCTGAGGCACTTGCAATTTTTCAAAATTACCACACATTTTCCACAGATTTGGGCCAAGACGCATCATGTGATGTCATCACAACATGCATGCATCTTCGATTCATGTATGTTGATCATGAGTATAGCTAAAAGGTTTCACTTACCAACAAACATCACTGAGAAAGTCTGTGCAAAACAATTTCAGCAAAAAAGCACATAATAGGCTGTAACAATAACAAATCCGCAAAACATTGTACAGATTGATCTTTAAACAATCATTCCCTCACCAGTCTCACTTTTTATTTCATAAAAAGCAAAAAAAAAAAAAAAAACCTGTGTCTTTATAATGGTATATAAAAATTTCTCCAGATCAACAATTACACATTTTTTTATATTCAGTTCATATGGAATGTCCATCATGCAAGTTCGAGAATTAATCAACATCTTCTTACCAGTCAGATTAAAGTCTGAATATAAACTTAAGCTTCACTTGCACATCGCTCAAGGCTAAAGACTACTTCCATGGGATTATTAATTCACTGCTCCATCCACACAGCTCGGCCTCTTTGTCATCTCATTCTTTTGCACTGGACCACCTGGTATTTGTTCATGCAATCTGCACAAGGCGTGAGAGTCCGTATTCGCTGGCCTGTTAGTTTGCTAGCACGCTTATGCCCTCAGTTCTCTTCCGGCAAAAGCAGCACAGCGCCGACACAGTGGCAGATGTCAATATGAGTCAATATGAAGCTCTCAGACAGATCTCGCTCCCTCTCTCTCACCGCCCACATCTTCAAGCTGACACATGGAGGAAGGCGTGTCTCAGAAGAAGAGAAGAAAAATGGAGGAAAAGAAAACCACGAGCAAGTGTCTGACTAGATGCAGCAGAAAGGTGAAACGAAAGGAGAGAGTGGTCAGAGGTGTGCCTTGCTGTGTTTGAACAAGAAAAGGCCACAGTTCAACAGGTTCTGATAGCATGAAGAGGCCAAAAGAGATGCCGCGAAGCCTGAAGGTAGCCTGGATAAAGATAAAGGAGCAAGAGAAACAGACAGGTGAACAGCTTTGTTTGACATCACGCTCCTTTTTTTTTTTTATCTCAGTAAGACGCCTGAGTATCAGCACCATAAAAAGCATCAGAGAGTCTAAAAAAACACACACACAAAGGCATCCTTTTTGCCCCTATTCTATTCATTGATTGAATGTTCTGATTCATTAACTTTAGATGAAATAGCAAGAAGTGGCTAGTTTGAGAGAAAAGTTTCTAAAGAAGAAACACAATGGTTAGATTCATGAAAAAGGCTTGTCACTCTTCCCTTTCTATTTCCCACAAGCAAGTTCAGGGGAATTAATCGGGAACCTTTTTCAAAGTGGTACAGCAATGGAACATTGGAAGTCCTTAGATCAAGGAGGATGCAGTGCAAAATACTAGCTACTACCTAGCTAGTCTAAGATTGCAACATGTTTACTATAGGGGTCCAACACCAGTGGAGACCAACCTAACCTCACCTAATGCACCATTCACTATAGCAAGTATAGGTATTAATAGTTTTCATAAATAACCTTGTTTATATTGTGAGTTGGGTGAGTCTTTCCTTCCCGGCCTGGATGACTCCACATGCCGAAGTGTCCTTGGGCAAGACACTGAACCTCAAGTTGCTCCCGATGGCAAGTTACCGCCTTGCATGGCAGCTCTGCTACCATTGGTGTGTGTGTGTGTGTGAATGGGTGAATGAGACACAGTGTAAAGCGCTTTGGATAAAAGCGCTTTATAATTCCGCCATTTACTCCAGCCCTGGCTCATAACTTCAACTCAATGCCTGATGATCCAATGCAGCTCTGTTTCTCAATGTAGGCCAAAAAGTAAAGGAAAAAGTCGGATACAGGAAGGGTAACCAACCCTGTTCTTGGAGCTCTACCTTCCTGAAGACTGAAAGCTCCAACCATAATCGTGTCCACCTGACCATCTAATCACTGCCTTAAGAAGTTCTTGATCAACTAAAACATTATATTTTGGTTGGAGATTAAACCTGCAGGAAGTTAGATCTCAAGGAAGAGGGTTAGTGACCACTGTGATACAGACAACAAGCATTCCACACAAAAAAGATTGCAACCAGCCACCGATGTTAGAGTGACTGTCACTTCAATTCAGAGTGATAATGTAGTGATCTGCATCACAGGAACAAGGTCTGACAGAGGCCCAGCATAATCCATTATTACTGAAAGGAAGTCAACTGTCTCTGTTCAATCCTGGGACACCAAGCAGAAAAAGTGCCCATGGAGGAAAATAGAGCTGATTTTTCCATGAGGGTCTCAGACCCAGAACTCAAGCTGTCATTCCTGAGCCATGGGGATGAAGTCACCTTGCATCCTGAAACTGGACAGGTGATGTGATGTGCAGAAGGAGGGCTGATGGGAAGAGATTTGGCAGAGTGCCCTAGGGATGCACACTGAACTTGCACATCATGCTGGTTCAGCAGTAGTCATCATTACCAGCATTCTTCTTGCATTAACAATAGTAATAAATGTTAATTTATAGAGCATCCTTCTGCCATCTAATGAAGCCACATTTATAGTTACATTTAATGTTGTGGGAGGGGAAATCAGCAAAACAAGTTGTCATTTGACTGAAAAACTTTCCTAAAGCATAAAGCATCAACACTGGAGACTCCTTCCAAAAAAAAAAAAAAGAAACATCTCCTTACAGAGCATGTTTTAGATAATTACAGTGTTAGCTGTTACTACAGAAAAAATAAGATCTCAGACTGAGTACATTAATATAAATCTTATTATCAGACCAATCAGAATGGAGATTTCAACAGAATCGTGGCTTAATAGAAGGTAATTAACAGTCATAAATCCCTATTAAACGATGTGTTATGATCTGAAGTGGCTCACCCTTGCCTCTTTCATCTCCTCTCTTTTTCTCTGTGAATGCCCTCATCCCTCCTTCATAAATAATTTAGATGCTCTGTATCTTGTGTTGCATTTTACAGTAATGCTGTAAGGGCGCATGGATTTCATCGTCGGCATCATTGATAGGGAGAGGTGGGTAACAAATAATGCAGTCGTTCATGTTGGCATCTGAATAAACAACAGATCTATTATTCTGGTCACACAATGTGCTTAGCTTAGCTGGTCTACAGCTGCTTGTGTGCTTTACTTTGTTACCATGAGCTTCTGTGCTAATATAATGATTAGCTAGCATAGGATGCGCTATCAAATCAGCCAAATTCTATGACAGCGGCCATATTTGCTACAAATATACAGCCTTATCTTAGTGAGTTGATGAGAACATGCCTCCCTCATCCTCAACCTGCCTTTAGGTTTTCAATGGCAACTTGCACTCAACCTTCCCTGGTGGTCCAGTGGTTTAGGATACCATTTTCTCATTGCTGTGGCCCAGGTTCAATTCCTTGGCAGGGAACCAACCAAACCACTTGGTTGCACTCAGTGCTAGTCCCAAGTGTCAGGAAGGGCATCTGGCATAAAACATGTACCAAATATAATATAGTGACCAGTGATCCATAGTTGTAAACCCTAATGGGAGCAGCAGAAGGAAGAACAACAAAGGCAACCTGCAATCAAACCTGACCTTTATCTTACCTTGTTAGCTTGTATCCATGGTCCTATTGTACATCATTCATCAGACACTTAAAAGACTAAATTCTTTGTACGTAATCTTCCCCTAAATTACAACTTTTTCCCCCGCCTCTGATTTTTCATTATTATGTCACGGTAAAATTGGAGCCAAACAAAAAATATTAAGGTAAGTTATATACACCGCTGCCTTGTCCCTGAGTTCCTCAAGATGCTCATGATGTTGAGTCTAAGCATTGAGTTGCCACCTCCATTTCTGTCTGGAATGGTCTTTAAGAAGACCAACTTTTCACAAACTAGTCAAAACCCTTACAAAACAAAAAGTTTTGGTCAGAAATCTTAGTTTCACATGATTTATTAAGATCTTGTAAGATTTTAAGGAAAATTTTGCTGTCTCAGACAAAAATCACTCACTGGTGGCCAATTTTGCATCCAAAGATGGCAGACACTTAAGTTTCAGGGTCAGACATTTTGTAAGAAAATGCTACGATGCTTGTCTAAACACACCAATAGGAGGATGGTATAGGATTACGCAAAATTTATGTTACAGCTACAAATGCAGAAGTGACAATGGTAAACCAAAACAATATATCTTTATTACTTCAAACTCACTTTATTACTTCAAACTCACTTTGAGGAATGTTTGTGTGAGCTTGTTTTCTACATGAGCCTGGATTGCACTGATTATCGACGTAACTACACGAAATGTGGTCATTTTTCTCGTTCTAAAAAAACCTGTTATTAGGTGCTGATTAGCTCAACCAGCTAGGACACAGGGTCTCAATGGTTGTTAGTGACTGCTCAATAACAGTGATCTGAACACTGGAGAGCTAGCTACAATTACTATTAGGAAAGTGTATGATTGCTCAATAATTTCACTACATTTTTCCCAGTAACAAAAGCCAGATAACTGCTTATATCAACTGCTGTGTGGTGAAGAATTTGGAAAAGCTGTGCTAAATTATAGAGCGCATTTTTTAAATCTCAAACGAAAAAAAAGCACAATAAAAGAGCAGCAACAGAAGAACAGAACAGCATGTGCCCATCATTCCTCAAGTTGCACACCCACGCAACCACCTCACACCTACACACACACACACACACACACACACACACACAAAAACACTATCCCAACCCTCAGCACGACATCCATCACCACTCAGCGAGCTTCAGCGACCCTGACATATTTGTCAATGGGCATTACTGCATACCGTCTGGAGTACTCTCAGGCCACTCTGGGTTTACCTGGCCAAAAAAGTATGCAAAAACCCTCAAGGTTCATTGGCAGATTGAAGAGAACAAGAAATGAAAACCTGGGAGAGTTCGAGCATCAAGTTTTAAAACAGAAGCAAGGCATCAGTCAAATATCAATCAAGCCAGCTTGCTTCAATAACACACGATCGGTGGTGTCTAATTAGATTATGTTCCTATAACAGTGTGTTATTTCTCTTATACCACAATGAATAACATGTCAGGATTTTTTAAAACCGTTTTTAATAACATTTAATGTTATGGAACATCTGCTAAAGTTAGTTAATGTTCACTTACATTACAGCAGCTATACTTTGTTTCATGGTTCTTGATCTTATTCTCATTTCTTGTTCTTGGTACTAGCCTTGCCCTATTTATGCCTGTTTCCCAACCACCTGATTCTTGACCTTGCTATTGTCTCGTGTTTTGGATTTGTCTACCTAGCTATCTCTCATTAAACCCTTATTTGCATTTGCATCCATCCTACCTTCAATACGAGGAATATGTGACAGAATACTTCACTAATAACATGGAAGAAGCAGGAAAGAGGAGGAGATGTCACATTAGGGAAACCAAGCAAGCCGTCACTGCTGTGGATTCGATCCAGGTTCCTCAGTGGACTGTTGTAGATCTCCCAGAACTGTATGATGGGTTATCAGGCTACCCTGAATGTTTTCTTGTTGACTGCCAGATCTATTTTGCAAGCCTAGTGAATCCCAAGCCCGGCGAGAAGCAATGGCTAAGGTTCGTGTTTTCCCAGGTTTTTGGCCCAGCATTTCAGTGATTGCAGCATCTAGTGTCCATGGTATCCAGGGCGCTTGAGAATGTAATTCAGTTTGTGGAACTTCTCATGATGGTGTTCAACAGCTCAGAATCCTGGGCTGTCCTGGAGAATCTTTAGGGGGAGACCTGCCTCAGAGATTAACCTGACTTGTCGTTGACCACCTATTATGAGCAGGCAAACTGGGTGACCTCCTTCTTAAAGCTCCTGCCTAAGACCCACTATGCGGTCTCCTCTGCAGAAATGTGGTGGCCTCATCTCAGGAGCTCGAACTCAAGACCCATCTGGTGGTCTTATATACAGAGTTCCAGACAGAGGTCAATGAGGCAACCTCACCTCCAGAGCTCCAACCTGAGCGCCACAAGGTGGTTTCACCTGCTGAGCTCCAGTTGGAGGTCAACATGAGACTTCCTCCCCAGATCTCCAGCATAAAGTCAAGTTCCTGAACAAGTTCTAAAAGGCGACCTCTGAAGCCACGTTCCTGTCCGAGGTCAAAGAGGCGACCTTTCAAGCCAAGTTCCTGTCCGAGATCAAAGAGATGGCCTCCCAAGCCAAGTTCATGTCTTAGGTCGAATAGGCGACCACTCAAGCCAAGTTTTTGTCTGGGGTCTAAGAGACAACATCTCAAGCCAAGTTCCTGTTTGAGGTCAGAAGAGACGACCTCCCAAGCCAAGTTCATGTCCGTGGTCGAGGAGACAATCTCTCTAGCCAATTTCCTGTCCCAGGTCAAAGCGACAGCCAACCCAAGCTCTGCTCATGCCAAGTTCATGTCCCAGGTCGAAGAGACGGCCAACCCAAGCTCTGCTCATGCCAAGTTCATATCCCAGGTTGAAGAGACGGCCAACCCAAGTTCTGCTCATGCCAAGTTCCAGTCCCAGGTCAAAGCCGATGTCATGTCCAACCAGGTCCTGATTACGTCTGAAGCCGACAACACAAACAACCAAGCTCTGATCACACTTGAGTCTGCTGATATGGACAGACAGTTTCTGCTTACATCTGAAACCGATGTCACGATCAACCAAGTTATGATCACACCAGAATCTGTTGATATGAACACCCAATTTAGGCTCATGCCAGAGTCTGTTGACATGACCAACCAAATTCTCCTCATGCATGAAATTGACATCACGACCAAGCAATTTCTGCTCATGCCCGAGTCTGCTGACACAGACAACCAAGTTCTGCTCATGCACGAGTCTGCTGACACGGGCAAACCAAGTTCTGCTCACGCCCGAGTCGCTGACACGGCCAACCAGGTTCAGCCTGCAGAGTGGAAGGCTCCGCTGAGGACATCGCTCTGCCTTCCTGCTCAACTGAGGATACCGCTCAGTCTCTCGGTTCATGTGAAGACATTTTGCCCAGTGTGCCAGGACCGCCTGGGTGGGGAGTTTATTTTGCCGAGAAATGCCCTGGGGCGTGGTTGATGCAGGTGTTATCATGCACAACTGCATCCAATTTTACACACTCACTCCACAGTATAAAGAGACTGTTTTCTACAGTGTCTTGTAGAAATGCCTGTTTGCCAATCACCTGACCCTTTGCCTGTTTATTGACCTTGCTATTGTCTAATGTTTTGGATTTGTCTGCCTGTCTATCTCTCATTAAACTCTTACCTGCATTTGCATCCATCCTACCTTCAATATGAGGAATACGTGACACATGCACTGATAAGCATGATAATTTTACGAATTTACCACTCTTGTTTTACGATCTTTTTTTTTTTTAAATCCCTCTTAATGCTTGTGTCAGATTTAATAAGGATGATATGGCCTATTTCTGGGCTTCAAACAAAAACCTTGGGGATTTTCCTTACTAAATTGCAAAGGACTAGAGAAAATTCACATCCCTGTAATTAGCTATGCAAGACATACTGTACAGCTTCAAATATGCCTCATTATAACAAAAAAGAGTTTTTAAAAAATTATTATTATGTAGATGTAAAAGCTCTCTCTTCAGAATGCAGTTTTCATTAATAATATAATCTCATTTATGTAACCAGTATGCAACAAAAATAAAACCTGCTGTGTTCTCACTTGACCTCAGCACATCAAAGAAATAACACTGTTAATCCAGTCGCTGTGGTCCTTATTTCACAAGCCTGGGTGGAGGTTGTTTTTTTTTTTTGGGGGTATTCTGAGCAAACGATGCTGACCCAGGGGAGGGAAAGTATAGGGTGCAAAGGTCTCAATTCACTACTGAGGAACTCTTTTTGTTTCCAAAAGGAATTCAAAATGTTATCCAGTTGAACCATACTGTTGAATAATACATTATTTACAACTGAGAAAAATCAGATTTTCTCACAGAATATGTAGCTGAAATGTAACTGATATCTGTCTGAATATCCAGAAATCTTCAAGATTTCTATGATTAGTTAAGGGTTCTAACATTCTAAAGAGGTTCTACTTGGTGTTAGGGCTATAGGAAAAGTCTGGTATCCAGATGTATTCTCTATTGACTTGGACTTGTTTCGGAATTATTTGAATTTGTACTTGGACTTGTCTAGGTCATGCGAGTGTTGTCTTTTGATTTTGCATGTGCAAAGTTTACAAGAAGTAATTCTTTCTTATAGCAAACAGCCTACCAATTTTACAAACAAACATAATAATTGAAAGTATTTCATCTATCATTTAATTTAATTGTTATCTCCTAATAGTGTATAAGACACTCCATGTCTTGCTCTTAAATGTAAGTAATCAGTGATGGGGTGGTGTACTGAAACTGTTACCATGCCACAGCTGACTATTTTACAATAACAGATGTTTTGAAGCGTTTTATTCCACTTAAAATACAGCAAT